AAAAAAAAAAGAACCAAGAAACTCATGTAATGGTAGAAGATTGCAATGATGAATATAACTGTATTTTATACCTAAAATGTACCAATAAACTTAATGAAAAAAAAAAGGGGGGAAAATGCATAGGGCAAAATAAAAAAAATGTAAAATATAACATGCTCTATTTTTATAAATAGTTGAAGAAAAAATAAATGAGACAAAAATTAGAAAGCAACTTGGATAACTGAAAACTGATTTGATTTCAAAATATAAATGGATATTTTGGGCCTGGAGTCTTGTTAGTTTATATATCTACAAAGAAAATAGTGAGAGTGACGAGGAAATAGGTCTTTAATAGTTTTAAGCTTAACAATTTAAGTGTCATTTATGTCTAAATACATGGCTAATTTTTTCCTCTAAAAAAGTATCTATGGAGAAAAGGAGTTGTAAAATTGAGTGATTCAAGAAAAGACTTGGGATAGAGGAAACAAAATCCAACAAAGGAAAGAAGAGGAAAAAAAATTCCCAGAAGGACAGTGAGAGGCGATAGGATGCCACTTATGGACCATATATCGAGGGGAAATAGTTCAGAACAGAGCAGTGAATCAGGAGACAGACATACTGAGGCCGGACTACCATGAATTTTTCAATGTGAGAACTAAATATGAGAAATATCGGAGCTTGGCTTATCTTGACAGTGAGCTGGTAACTTCCTGCTCCCTCCTTCCCTTTCAGTCTTGCTGCCTGGACTGAAAACACTCATTTTATCACACAGAAATTATCACTTTGACCTACTGCTTTGACCTAGAAGTAGAAAATACTGAGTTCTAAAGCAGAATTTACAGAAAAACCCACTTCTCATTGCCATATTTCTGCAACTAATACTTCATCCAGGCCATCCTACAACCTTGCCCACTGTCTCAACTCAGAAAAGACTGACACATTTCAGAACCTGCTCAAAACTTTGCCCTGACTTCCTCATCTGAGGTGCTTAGAAAACTCCCAGAGAAACTGAACCAGGAATTAAAAGTGTCCTACAGAAAGTTTTCTCTAACTAGTGTTACTTGAACTATGTTCAATACTTTTCATATTGTCAATTGGCTATTTTTTCTTCATAGATATGTAACCGATGAATTTAAACTTCTTAAAGTTAGGGTGTTATCTATAGGATTTTTATATTACCTCAAATTCCTAGCACAATGCTGGATGTAAACTCTATTTATTACATAAATACTTCGGGACTACTGTAAGATTCCAAGATTTTACTTTATATTTAACAATTATAAAAATAACCTAATTTTAACTGTGTTCCTGGTGGTATGTGACATAAAGTTTTTTTGATTTTGCAAGTAAAGGAGGTAATGGGTAGAGGTCTCTTTGTTATCTACGATAGTCTCCTCTTATCCATGGTTTTGCCTCCCATGGCTTTTAGTTTGCCATGGTCAACTGTGATACCAAATATTAAATGGGAAATTCCATCAATAAAATTCATAAATTTTAAATTATGTGCTGCTATGGGGACCATGATAAAAATCTCATTCTATCCTGTTCCAGTGGGATGTGAATCATCCCTCTGTTCAGCATATTCACACTGTATATCCTACCTGCCAGTTAATTCACTTAGGAGCCCTCTTGATTATTAGATGGACTATCACGGTATTGCAGGACTCTATTCAAGTATCTCTCATATAGTAGCCCAAAACTCTGTACCAATGCCTATCTCACTCACTCTGCTTCATCTGCATCTTGTGGAGGTATCACATCATCACAAGAAGGTTGAATATAGTACAAGAAGGTCTTTTGAGAGAGACTACACTCACATAACTTTTACTATAACACATTATTATAACTGTTCTAGCTTATTGTTAATTTCTTACCACACCTAATTTATAAATTGAACTTTACCAAGATGTGTGCATATAGGAAAAAACAGTACATATAGGGTTTGGTACCATCTGCTGTCAGGCATCTACTGGGTATGTTGGAATGAATCCTCAGAGGATAAGGGGTGGCCTTGTGTAAGACTGACATAGACTTTTACTAATAATTTCAAGTGCACAACTTAGAGAACAAGGAGATATTTAGTGGACTTAAACTTCTATCAATATCTTTCTTCAAAGTGCTTGAGTAATATCAATCTCAGTTTGCAGAAGAAACATTTTAGTAATAAAGGTCAATCTAGAGAGATAAAGAGAAGTAAGAACTAAGTAACATTTGAGCTCTGAAAAAAAAAATGGTAAGCCTAAAAGGATTAAATAGCTCTAAATTGAAACTGTTCAAAATAAGTCTGAGTGAATAAAATGATTGTATAAGAAAGCTAAGAATTCCACTTAAGTATCTACAAACTATATAAATTGCTTTGATCTTCCTGTTATTTAATCATTAAAAATCAACATAAGATACAGAATTACAGATTCTTCATTCATCAGTATAATATATAAGGTTTAGGAATAGCAGAGAAAATGTAAGTGTAAATGGTAGAGATAGTTTAGAAATAATATTTTCAACTCATTCACATCTTATACACACACACACATATATATATGGTAATTTCATATAATATTTTTAGTGTGCCTACATTCTGACTGTAACCTGTCAGAAGTTTTCGCTTGTGGTATAATGTCAGCACTCAAAAAGTTTAGGATTTTGGAGCATTATAAATTTCAGATTTTTGGATTAGGGATGCTTAACCTGTACAAAAAGGTATCCAGAGTACACCTTAATAAAAAATAGTTTAGCATTCTATAGTTTACATTTTTATATAAATTGAGGTTTTCAGAGAAGCAGAAACTTTTTGGCAGCTAGATAGCTGTGAAGTAACATAAATGGGGATTCCCAATGCTAAACACTGAAATATACTAACTTTACAAGTTTTAAGTAACCCAAGGAGAGAAGAAAGGGAGGGCAGCAAATGGAAGAGAACAGGACCAGTTTTCTCTACTAAATGCCTGCCAAAACTGGGGAATAGCTTCTCCATGTTCTAAGTTCATCTTACTTGTCCGCTTAAAAGCATCATAAATCACTTGCTTCTATTGGAACAATGCTCTCTTTTGGTTTCCAAAGTATCAATCACCTCCCACCTGTCTCATCTGATTTTCCTCAACATCTGTGGGAAATTCTGCTCTTCCTCCTCTATTACATTTTCTAAATGCACTAATTCCTCACTAATTCCTGTTAGAAATTTAGGCTGGTTCTACTTTTTCATTATTAAAAACAAAGCAGAAGAGCACTATATATAAAACACTGTAATAAATATTCTTAGAGCTAAAGCTTTCCAATATTTGTGACTGCTTATGTATTGGATAAATCCTACAAATGTGGTTACTGTGTCAAAATTTTGCAAAATGTAATGGTTTCCTCTAGGAAGATCTGCATTTCCAACACTGGAAAATATCATTTAAATGTCTGGCAGTGTGCTGGGTGAAAATGGAATTCTTATTTTTCTTTTCTTAGAGTACTTGTGATACTAAATATTCTCAGACATACTGGTCATTTATATTTCTTCTGTAAATTACCTGGTTCTTATAATTTGTGATGTTTTTGCATTTGGGTTCATGTTTAAGAGTTAATATATTGAGGCTTACTGTCAACCGGTTTCATATGTGCAACAGGCAGAATTGTAGATAGTTTCATGACCTATGCCTCTGTTATTGCTTCTGTAATTTTTGTTATGTTACATAGCAAAGGGATTTTGCATCTGTAATTAAGGTTACTAATCAGGTGACCTTAAAATAGGGAGATATCTGGATGAGCCTAATCTTATCACATGAGCCATTTACATGTTTTCTTTGGCCAGTGGCAGAAGTGAAAGCTGGAGGAATTCAAAGCACAAGAGGGGACATGACCCCCTGTTGGTGGCTTTGAAGATGTGCAGGGAATGCACAGCAGTCTCTATGAGCTAAGAATGATCTCTGGTTGGCTGCCAGCAAAACAACAAGGCCCTTGGTCCTACAACTTCAACAAACTAAATTCTGCCAACAACCAGAATGAACTAGGAAGCTCATTCCACATAAGAGACTCCACATAAGAGCCCAGTCCAGTGAAAGCTTGATTTTGAGCTTGCTTGATCCTAAAAAGCAAACCAAGCTGAACCCATCTGAACCACTAATTAGCTATTGCATGTAACCAGGCTTGTGATAATGATAGGCAACAAAACTAATATGTTAAAATATTTTTTTGTTCATTTTCACAGCCACGTGATTTTACAATAACCAAATCTTCTATAGGTCTTCCCCACACTTACAAGATTACATAAATAACTTTACAAATTCAATGTTAAAGGTTTCACAAATTCCACTACACTTTTTGTTTGCATACAATGATCAAGATAGGATTTAAGGGTATTAAAGTGAAATGAAACATTTAATTTTCTTATGAACTAGCAGAGATTTGATTTGATTCAGATAACAAGGGAAAAAGATACAAATATAGAATATGTATAGCGTACAGATAAATAACTCATATTCAAAAGGCAGTTTGGGATTTACTGAAGTACTTACTTTGTCATTAAGCCTAGAGAAGTCAGTGTATCTTCTGAAAACTACCCAGCTTTCTTCTGGGGTTTTCTTTACTAGTATTTTATATACCTAGAAAGAGAGTAAGACCGAAAGATTGAGAGAAAGAGAAAGAAAGACAGAGAGAGACAGAGAAATAGATATAAAAAAGTAGATATTCAAACCAAATATTTTAAAAACCTCTACTTGATAATGCGAACTATTATACTTATTATGCAAAAAGCATCAGAAATCATTTAGATTATCAGATGTACAAATAATCAAGGAGGTACAAATAATCAAGGAGGTACCAAAGAAAAAATTTTTTAAGAAATATGAATATGATAAATTTAAGACTACAAGCTTTCTCTGTTCACACTATAGCTAACTCATCAGCTTCTAAAATGTTTTATGGCAACATATTTTAAAACTGATAAAAGAATCAATTGGGTGCGAAGAAGCTATAAAAATAGCTATTTTGCCCTATATAATTTGCAAATTCAATATCTGTCAAAGCTATGTTTTTAAATTAGTTCAATACTATTTTTATCTCCAAGGCTGAAATATGAGCCTGAAATATTAAAACAAATCCATACTAGATAAAAGTTCAACTTCTATAATTATGTGATATGATAAATATGTTAAATGTTTAAATTTTAAAAAAGATTATCGCAATAAAAGACATACTGCTTTAATCCTCCTCAAAATGCCACCTCCCTTGATGTGAACACACTTATCCCATTGTTCTTACCATTTTCTGAAGCAGTTCTGCAAGTCCTCTTTTATATCTTTAGTTGTGCTTTTGGGTCTGCCTTGATGTCCTGACGAAATTAAAAATGTTTCCCTTTTTTGGGACGAGTCAGAAGTCACACGGTGCTGGAGCTGGTGAATAAGTAGGATGCAGACACACTGCAATATTTTTATGAGCCTGCCTTTCCACTGGATGGTGCTGAGCAGCAGCATTTATTAGGTGTGTTTTTGATCATGCCTCATAAAGACTCTCATGAAGAAGACTGCTAGAACTGCTTCAGAAAATGGGAAGAAAGATGGGACAGGTATATTCTAAGCAAGGAGGAGTATTCTGAAGGGGATCAGTGGCAATGTATCTTTTATTGTAATAAGTTTTTCTAGTGTCCACTGTATATTTGTATAATTATCCAGGATACTGAGTAGAAAAATTTGGTTGAAGCAAGTCAACATATTCTTTAAAAAACATACGGAGAAAAACACAGATCTTATTTTTTTAAAGTATAATTTTAGAATTTACTATGAAGAAGTGTTATTTATGACAGAATCTCAAAGAAACACCTAGTGGTTTTTACTAGAGGACTCTGTTAAGCTAACATATAAGGTACTCTATATCTGCTAAATGAATAAAACTTTTACTTTTCACTTATCACTCTAGAGCTGTACTTTATCCACATGTGGCTACTGGACACTGGAAACATGACTAGTCCAAGCTGACAAATATCGAGAGTGCAAAATACACATCAGATTTCAAAAACAGTGATTCACATATTTCTAATGGACAGCTGCTTGGGGCACAAGTCATTATTTAAGGACTGTAGACTGTCCTTCCCATTTGCATTTGCTGCCATACAGACTGTTTTTTTCCGCTTTTACATGGGAGAATCAACAGGGTTAAAAATAAATGCTTTAGCTCTGAAGTAAAAAATATGTAATTTATCTTTGTAACATATAAGGGTATGGAACAAGATTACCTGGATATCTTTTAAAGACTGAAAAAAGTCGGGACCTAAGAAAGTCACAATGTGGATACAGAAGAAAATTAGTTTTTAGGAATTAGTCATTAAAACAGAGATTAATTCAAAATTTTAAGTATGAATGACTGATGAATGATGAAATCAATTTCATGTGATAATTAGGTTTATCTACAAATAACTCAGACTGACTTTATTTTCTGTTTTAGAAAATATTCCCTTCCTCAAGCTAAGCTGTTCTCTGCTGTGGCCTCTTAAACACTCCTATTTCTTTAAGAAAGATAAAAGTGCAGACCTTTGCATCTTACCTTTTCTAAAAAGCTTTCTTTCAACCTTTCTACTTGTTTAGTACTTTCAATGAAAACTCCATGTGTATAGTACTAATCCATTCTCTTCTTTAAGTTTTAACAGCAGTTACTGTTACTACTCTTTGAAATTTTATATATACTACTTTGTGCTAACATTTTATGTAGTCCTTTTTGGGCCTTTAAGTGAATTATATGTTAAGCTAAAAAGATATATACAGAAGAGTACACAAACTATAGGCTTACAACCTGATGAATTTTTACAAAGTGAACACACCCATCTAAGTAGAACTAAGGGAAAGAAAAAAAATACCAATTGAAGAAGTCCTCATGCTTCTTTTCCAATTCTAATCACCACCTATCCCAGTCACTTTATTTTTAAATACTCTTTTCAGCGACTTGATATTTTACTATTTGATATATTTACTATTGGATCTTGACAGTCCTAATATCTTCTTCAGTTAAAAGATCAATTTTAAGGTTAAGAGATCAATTCAAAGGAACATATTTAGGAAAAAATTATTTTGCAAATCTAAGGCTTCCAGTCTTATATAGACACACAATATATATGTATACACATCATATGTATATATGTATGGTGTGTGTTTGTACACATTCACACACACACCTGACATCTTTATTTGGAAGTCTAATACACATCTGAAATCTAACATGCCTCAAAACAAATCCTAATGGCCCTCTCAGAATCTTACATGTAATTAAATGGCAACTTTACCCTTATTGTTCAGGGCAAAACTTTGAAGTCTACTTTGACTTCTTTCTCCCACACTCCACTTCCAAATTACTAGAAAATAGTGCTGGCTCTTACTTTAAAATAGATCTCGAACCTGCAAACTTCTCAAGATCTCCTCTGCATCCTAGTTTACACTACTATCATGTCTCTCTTGCATTATTGCAAGAACTTAAATGCTTCCTGCTTCTACTCCTTCCCCCCATAATCTAGTTTCAACTCAGCAGCCAGAATGAGCCCTTTAAACCTAAGTGAGATCACGTGAGTTTTCTTTAAAAATACCTTTTCAAATATTCTCATCCTATGCAGGGTAAAATCTAGGGTCCTAATAATGGCCTACATGCCACCTAACAAAATATCAGACACTGGATAGCTTATAAATAACAGAAATTTATTTCTCACAGTTTGAGAGCCTACAAAGTCCAAGATCAGGATGCTGTCAGATTTGGTGTCTGGTTAGAGCTCACTTTCTGGTTCACAGAAGGTGCTTTACAGCTGTGTCCTGGTATGGACACAAAAGGCAGCTCTCTGGGGCCTCTTTTATAAGGATGCTAATCTTATTCATAAGGTCTCTGTCCTATGATCTGATCACTTCCCAAGGTCCCTACTGCTTAATATCATCATCATGGAAGTTAGGTTTCAACATATGAATTTTGGAGGGACACAAACATTCCCAATACAGCATCACTTCAATGAATCCTCATTCTTTCATATGGAAGGTAGGTGAATGTAAGAAAATGTGGCATCAGTTCTATAGTTCTAAAATTGCTCTTCAAAAAGATAGTTCCATGTAGATTTTCCACTATATCATCAGTCTTATAACTGATAACTTATTTCTAAAGACTGTCACCTCATGAGCTTCACAAATAATGTCAACATTTTTTCTTCAAGGCCCTAGCATCCTGATATAAATTTATAGCATAAAACATTGAAGCAAACATAAAAACTTCACTGCAACTAAACCAGGAAAAAACCCCCAAAACTCCTTTACCTAATAATTTTAGCAAGGTTGAGAGATACCTAAACATACAAGGTCAAAATATATAAATTAGTAATGAACAAAATAGAAAACAAAAAAAGATATTTCTTGTAAGAGCATCAAACCACAACCACACACAGAAATATATCTAAACAAGAGGAAAGACCTCTGCACTGAAAATGACAAAAAATTATTAGAAAAAATTAAAAACTTAAGTCAATGAATTAAATTTATAAATCTAATGAGTTAGTATGGAAAAGATGTCAGTTCTTCCCAGAATAATTTATAGATTTAACAAAATGTAAAGGGCCAAGGATAGCCACGGCAATCCTGAAGAACAGCAAAGCTAGAGTAAACTACTGGGTATCAAGTCCTATTACAAAGGTTTCAGTAATCAAGACTCTGGAATTGGCAATGGATAGAGAAATGGAGCACAACAGCCCCATATATTTACAGTTACATAATTATGACATAAGCAATACTGCAGATGAAGAGTAAGGCTGGTTTTTTTTTAAATGAAAGCTTGACTAACTGATCTCTCACAGAAAAAAATAAAATGCCTTGACTCTTACGCCACAGACAAAAATCAATTCCAGACAGCTTGCAGATCTAAATGTGAAAGGGCTAACCAAAAAATCTTTTAGAAGAAAGTAGGCGATAATATCTTTGTAAACTTGGAGTAGGGAAAGATTTCAAGCTGGGTATGATAGCACACACCTGTAATCTCAGGATTTGGGAGGCTGAGGCAGGAGGATCACTATGAATTTGAGAACAGCCTGGGCTACATAGTGAGTTCAAGGCCAGTCTGAACTACTTAGGGAAACCCTGTCTCAAAAAATGGAACAAAGATTTTAAACAGTGTTATTTATAAAAGAAGAATAACATAAGACTCATAGAAGTCCATGAAAAAACAGGAGAAAGTACAATTGACATAAAAAAACTGTTCACAGAAGTAACAGTAGAAAACTTCCCAGACAGAGGTAGAGA